TTCATATTATTTGGGTCTTTCGGTAAAGTCACGTATATAGCGATCGTCCTCCTGATGACGATCGCTTGTGGTGCGATCGAAACGTCGTAGTTTTTAAAATTTTCTTTGAGCCTATCTACGTGGCTTTACCGAAAGACCCAAAGAATATGTTTATAAAGGTTTAGCGATTGGCGTAGCCCAAGTGTGTTCGCAGCATGGGCAGGGCAGCTAATGTTAATGTGGGAGAAAGACAAGCAACGACACCAATCGAAGGGCTGCCAGGCAATCATTTGCACCTAGCTCCACACCCACACTGCTGACGGTGGAGGTTGACAAGAAAACAAATCAAATCATCACCCAAAGTGGTTGATGACATCTTTCCAATGATTGCTGAGTTTATAACCATCTTCTCGGTTGAAATTGTCTGTATATATGGATGGCTTCATGAACGAATCTTTGTTGATAGCCAGTGGGTTTGCAAAGTACCATCGTCTTAGAGAAATATATTTCGTGCGAGCCAGCCGCATTAAAATAATGATCAGCCACGGCAGAAGTATTGGTCCTACCATGTTTCAAATCTGCCTTATGCTCACGAACACGGTCCGAGACATGTCGCTTAGTTTCCCCAATATTATAACTGCTACCGCAGATACAGCTTAGTTTGTAGACGCCGGGATATTGCATGTCAGGAATCTTGTCAACATTATAGACTGCCAGTACACTCACCCAGCTCAGTAACCATTGCTACAGTCTACATTGTAGACTGCCAGTACACTCACCAAACTTGGTAACCATTGCTACAGTCTACATTGTGGACTGCCAGTACACTCACCAAACTTGGTAACCAGGTTACAGTCTATATTGTAGACTGCCAGTGCACTCACCCAGCTTAGTAACCAGGTTACAGTCTATATTTTAGACTGCCAGTACACTCACCAAACTTGGTAACCAGGTTACAGTCTATATTGTAGACTGCCAGTGCACTCACCCTGATTGGGAACCGGGCTACAGTCTACATTAGGGTTTTTAAATTATTTTTTATTTACCTTATTTTATTATTTTTCTATCTACGTTACGGAAAGAACCAAAGAATATAAATTCCTGCAGTCACGAAAGTTTTAAGTCAAAACTCCCCCCCCCCCCTCCGACAGCTGGTCGGGTGACGATGCGGGCCTTTGGAAGTTGGTGGGGGGGGGGGGTCGGATGACGTCATCGCGTTGTTAATTCGGCCCGCCACTGAGCCGCCGCTGCTCCAGCAAAAATCGGCGGCAAACCTGCGGGTGACGTCACACCTTAAAATGCAACGATGCCGTGGACGCGTTTTGTCGGTAACTTCACCGCCATCTCCCGAGACGGTCGGGTGACGATGTGCGCCTTTGCGGTGTCGGCCGGTGGGGAGGAGGAAGGAGAACGATGACGAAGGATGACGTCATCGAGTGAATTCGGCCCGCCACGTTGGGTGAGGGGCCACCGAGCCGCCGTTGTCTCAGCAAAATCGGCGGCAGCAACCACCCCCCCCACACATCGGCGTGCGGTTGAAATCACACTTTTACGTAAATGGTCTCGACGCATTTTGTTAGTAACGTCATCATCTGTGAACAGTGTGGCTATGAAAATAGATAGTTGCCGCCACCCACCCCCCCCCCACGTTTCCTTTTGAATGCAATGCCATCGACGAACGTGCCATGTTGCTCCCTCTGGGTTCAGAAGCCACCTTGCCAACAAGGGCCCTCTCGCATCAGGGCAACGCTCGTCGTCACCTTATAGATGTAGCAACGTGTATGGGAGAGTGCCCTATTAATCAAAAGGCATACACGCTCACAACCGTGTTAACCCATATGGGTTTACCCGTATTCTTGTACAGGGAAATTGAGTTTTCAGGTTCATGAGGCATACAGCGGTTTAATTAATACGGGCATTTTCTTTAAACTTCGTTTCTCCCGTGTTGAGATTTTATAAAATGAACGTTAAGATGTAAAAGGGCACGGGGTGACCAATACGGTCTGAATTGCTCTGTAATAAGGTAGACACTAAGGGGCTGACAGGTACGTTCGTGTATTCCGTAAAACAAATATAAATGGATTTGATATCGTTTTGACTGTCGAAAGGTTTGTTACGCACCGTTACGTAACTGCAGCCAAATAAAACAAAAATATCTGAACAGGAAACAAAAAATGTAATGCTCATCAGCCCCCCCTCCTACAGTCTCCAGCGCTATCCATGTGATTTGAAAGGTCATTGCCCGAAACGTCACCAATTATATATTTTTTATGTTAATGCACGGATATTGATGTGAAGTTTTTTTTAAAGAAATGTCCATGTTGTGGTCAGCAGAGGGCAGTGCAGAAGTCAAAGGTTGTCCTACGTTCCCACGTCTCTCTGAACTTGACATTTAAAGGTGTCCTATTCATGTAATATAACAAGTGCTATTGCCTCAAACAATCTGACGAGTATTCTTAGTTTTTTCGGTAAAGTCACGTTGAAGAGAAACAACAAAATATATATAAAACAATAAAAAATTCTCACGACGTTTCGACCATAACTCAAACGGTCATCATCAGGTGTGTCGGTTTGCATAAATTTATTTAGAAAACGGCATATTTATTTATTTATATATAAAAATAACGTTTGCGTCACGCGCAACGATTGGCTGTTTGCCAGGACTAGTCCATCTATTTTTTGAAAAGAGGAGGGGGGAGACGAAATTTGTTGTTATGTATGCTGTCTGAAAGCCACTGTAAGCGTGAACAATCAATCAAGAACTGAAATGATTTATCAAATCTTTCCAATGATTGCTAAGATAGAATCCATCTTCTCGGTTGAAATTGTCTCTGTGTTTGTATATGTGGATAGCCTCATGAACGAATCTCTCATGGAAGCCAGATGGCTTACAAAGAACCTCCGTCTTGGAAAAGTCAATGGCATGTGAGCCTACTGAATTAGAACAATGATCTGCTACGGCCGAGGTGTTGGTCCTACCGTGTTTAAGGTCTGCTTTATGTTCACGAATGCGGTCCGAGATATGGCGTTTGGTTTCTCCAATGTAACTACTACCACAGAGGCAACTTAGTTTGTAGACACCAGGGTATTGTATGTCCGGAATCACATCTTTTACAGACGGAACCAGATCACGGATTTTATGTAATGTGTTGAAACGGACCTGGATCTTGTGTTTATTCAAAATTTTGGAGATCTTTTTTGTGATCCCAGCAATGTAGGGTAAAGTGATGGTTTTGAAAGGCTCCTCAAGAGGGTTTTTCTTCATGGTTTGAGTGATAGCTTTGCGGATTGTATAGTCGGAGTAACCATTAGCCCTAAGAGCTTGGTGTACGTGCTTGAGTTCACTGCTTATGTGTTCCTGGTCGGATATGCATTGGGCTCTATGATACAGAGTCTTGATGAGAGAATTCTTCTGTGATGGATGGTGGTGGGAATCCGGTTTCAGATAAGCATCCGTATGGGTAGCTTTCCTGTAGACAGAGTGGCTCATTGAACCATCAGGTCTCTTTTTAATTAGGACATCCAAAAAAGGTATCTTGCCATCTATTTCGACTTCCATGGTAAATCTGATGGCTGGGTGTATGGAATTGATGTGGTCGAAGAATTGGTCTAGAGCTGGCCACATGGCCGGCCTGCTCTAGACCAATTCTTCGACCACATCAATTCCATACACCCAGCCATCAGATTTACCATGGAAGTCGAAATAGATGGCAAGATACCTTTTTTGGATGTCCTAATTAAAAAGAGACCTGATGGTTCAATGAGCCACTCTGTCTACAGGAAAGCTACCCATACGGATGCTTATCTGAAACCGGATTCCCACCACCATCCATCACAGAAGAATTCTCTCATCAAGACTCTGTATCATAGAGCCCAATGCATATCCGACCAGGAACACATAAGCAGTGAACTCAAGCACGTACACCAAGCTCTTAGGGCTAATGGTTACTCCGACTATACAATCCGCAAAGCTATCACTCAAACCATGAAGAAAAACCCTCTTGAGGAGCCTTTCAAAACCATCACTTTACCCTACATTGCTGGGATCACAAAAAAGATCTCCAAAATCTTGAATAAACACAAGATCCAGGTCCGTTTCAACACATTACATAAAATCCGTGATCTGGTTCCGTCTGTAAAAGATGTGATTCCGGACATACAATACCCTGGTGTCTACAAACTAAGTTGCCTCTGTGGTAGTAGTTACATTGGAGAAACCAAACGCCATATCTCGGACCGCATTCGTGAACATAAAGCAGACCTTAAACACGGTAGGACCAACACCTCGGCCGTAGCAGATCATTGTTCTAATTCAGTAGGCTCACATGCCATTGACTTTTCCAAGACGGAGGTTCTTTGTAAGCCATCTGGCTTCCATGAGAGATTCGTTCATGAGGCTATCCACATATACAAACACAGAGACAATTTCAACCGAGAAGATGGATTCTATCTTAGCAATCATTGGAAAGATTTGATAAATCATTTCAGTTCTTGATTGATTGTTCACGCTTACAGTGGCTTTCAGACAGCATACATAACAACAAATTTCGTCTCCCCCCTCCTCTTTTCAAAAAATAGATGGACTAGTCCTGGCAAACAGCCAATCGTTGCGCGTGACGCAAACGTTATTTTTATATATAAATAAATAAATATGCCGTTTTCTAAATAAATTTATGCAAACCGACACACCTGTTATGGTCGAAACGTCGTGAGAATTTTTTATTGTTTTATATATATTTTGTTATTTTGTTGTTTCTCTTCAACGTGACTTTACCGAAAAAACTAAGAATATGAATTACTGCAGTCACGAAAGCTTTAAATAAAAATTTAATCTGACGAGTGTTGCTTTTTCACAATAAATCTGGTTGATAGGCCCTCACTTTGTGAAACAACGGATGTCAAGCCAAATATATTCTCAATGGGTCCTCAGTTAAAGGACATCGATCACAAGATAATGTCAATGATCCCTGACCAGGTTAAAGAAGATAAAATATATCTCAATGAGCCCCTACACGGTTATATAAAGGACGCCTGTCACAATTTTGTTTTATTGTGTTAACGGCAAAACATGAATTCCCACAGTTCCATACAGGAAAGGCAGCGTTGACCTCATGTGCAAATTACTGCAACAAATACATTACTGCCCACTTTTGACAAACTGTCCACGAAATTGTACCCGTCTAGTGTTTCATTTCGAGGATATCTGCGTGTAATGGGTCATTGTCACAGCACAACTGAATCCTACATCTTGATTGCCAACTCATGTTGTGCAACAATCTTTACTTTAGAAGCGAAAATTAGGCTACCAAATGAACTCGTTTGGCTGCGACACACCCTTGGTGGTTTCAGAAAGGTGGTTTTCTAAAACGTTTATAATAATCGGGATCTTGTCCCGACTTTAAAAATTTCAATCCTTCATGCATAACTATGAAGATACAGGCAAAGGGATGGGGTTACCCAAGTAGTGGTGATGTTAAAGTGGGTGGTGTTGCCAGCTTATATGGTTAGAATGAGCTTCCCAAAAAATTGGTAACCATTGGTGAAAGGCATTACGTTCCAAATTAAATGTAATGTAGGCAGATATTGTAAAGTATATTGTGACTATTGTGACTTTGCGGACAGTCTTTACAGCATGAGGTAAATTACAATGTAAATTACTGCTGTAGAGACACAACCCAAACAAATGTATTCTCAAGTAGCCTCACACCCACGCTGTGTCTCAGACTGTCACACACGGGGGGAAGCTTTGTAGAGCTAGTCATTAAAGAATACGTTATTCAACATAGCAATGTGAAACGAGTGAAATAACCGTGGCATTACTTGCTTAGTGTTTTTCATACACTGCAAATAAGTGACAAATGCGAGTGCTATGATGAAGAAAAAATAGAACAGGATATTTGTACTGTCAGAGGACAAAGACTGATGTTTTGGATGACTGGCCTTCTTCAGGAATTGCTGAAATTACTTTGAGTCTTCAGACTAGATTTGTGTGTTTATACGAGTTTAGTGGTGAGATATTAACTACCTCGCCTGGTATATAGGTCGTGGGCTCGATCCTGACCCTGACGCCTGTATATTTGGAGGTGGATTTCCCTCCGGGTCCTCCGGTTTTTCCCTCCACATTTTCAAACATGTGTTTTGAATATTTGGCTGTTATAAATTTGAACGTAATTCACTTCTCATTGAACTATCAATTTTGGGCAGGTCGCTTCTGAAAAAAAGCTATATAGCTCAGTGGGTCTTACCTGGTAAAATAACAATACTTTATAGTTTAGTAGTTAGCATATTGCATTAATAGTCCTAGATCCCAGACCTCTCTCATCATTTCAAACTACTCCCAGCTCAGAATGCAGTTAGACTGTACCTAACCCGTTCGCTGTTACTTTTCACATTCTCATGATGGTGTTGTTTTATTTGCTCAATCGAGTTCGTTTCACCTCGCTGTCTCCTTTCAAATCATTCATTACATCATCTTTGTTTTTGTTGCAATGCTTCTGTTTTTTGTGATAAATAAACTGATTGAAGGTCCACTCGCCCTTAAATTGAGTACTGTGTGCAATGGGTAAACATCAACACTGGGCAAACAAAGGTGGCCAGGCGTGGTGCTGGCCATACCCGTGCTTGTGTCACTGAAGCAGCATAAACATAACTCTCATGGAAAGCAACTCCAATAAAACATCAGCAGTTAAACTACCTGCTGAAATATTTTTTTAAAACATATTTACAAAGTTTAAGGTTAACAACCCAAATATAAACCCAACGAACATTTACTCTTCCCAAAGTCGCTCTCCTCTCCCCTCTCTTATCTATCCCTAAAAAAAGATTTTTGGTTAGATTGCATAAATATGAATCCCATTAAACCCGACAGCACCCGACAGCCAATTAGTAAGGTTTATCCCGTAAACAAAACATGCCCATTAATTGGAGATTAAACCCACATTGTTATGGATATTGATTGCGAAAGCATACGTGTTAAACTGTCATCTATCCCTACTCCGCCTTTCTCCTGTCTCCTCCTCTGTCCCCCCAACTCCCACCTTCCCCAGCCCCCTCTGTCCAGGCTATTCACCAGGCTCCTTGGAAGATTCTAAAGAAAAATGTTCACGAGCGAACGTCTCGGCCACGAGGAGAGGGAACACGAGGGAAGCATCCGCATAAACCTACACACACATACAACACAAACAGAAACACACAAAGATATATTTACACACAATCATACAAAGATCCCCTGTTTAGCCTTATAGAATGTTGAGGCAAGTGCTGTGAGCAATCACTAGTTAATGTCGGCATAGCACAGGACAGGGTGATGTTACATTCAAGTAAACAAAGATGCAGGATTACAACTAGTATGAATTTGTAGAGCATCTAAATACTGCTACATATACATAATTATGTACATACACAGAGTCCCAGTTTGAAGCTTAGGCATGAACACTGAATCCTAGGGGAGTGATATTCTGACTATGAACGCTAAGGAAACCTGAGTCTGGCTTTATAAATTATAAGGGAATCTTGGTTGTACTCTCAAAGCCTCAAGCACTAACACTGAGGCATAGAGGAGCCTTAGTTTGGCTCTATGAGCCTAAGTTATTAACACCCCCCCCCCCAAGGCAGCCTTATTTTGGCCATATGTATCATAGAGCTACAATCATTACCACTGACCACTGGGGCAGTAATTTAACACCGACCCCTAGGGCAGTCTTAGCGTCGCTCTGCGAGCACCTTGACGGGCTTGGCAGTGATGCTGATTTTGCCCCAGGATACAGCTTCATCGGGTCTGGCCCCCGAGTCGGAGCCGTCAAACTCCTGGGCGGTGTTGATGTTCACTGAGAAGTTGGCACCGTTCCTCTGTGATGGAGGGAACCGGTGCCATGGGGATCAGAGACATGTCAGAACTGATGGAAATCAGGGCGGTAATGTTAGGTGATCAAGGAATCAGCAGAGTTGACGATCAAAGAAATCACGCAACTGGGGGAAGATGTGATCAAGAAATTGACGAATCGTAGTGGTCAATTGATAAATCCAAGATGTCAATAGATTCAGCAACACAGGATATGAAGCAATCGGTGAGATCAGCAAATAAATTAGGGTTACAAACAAGGAATGTGTTTAACTCTGAAGCTTCACACTCATGTGGAACAGCATCGATCACTCAGCATAGACATAGATAGTGGAAAAGAGCAGTTTGTTTTGTATGCTGTATCTTCATTTACGAGCAACATTGTGGATTCTCACCATAAGATTTGCATTGCAAATATGGTGTTTGATTACACCACCTCCGAGAATAATCATCCCCGTGTTCTTCGCATGCACAGCATGGTTGTTCATCAATCTGATGTCTGCAACAACAGCAGTATCAGCACATCATCAGGAGCTGTATTATCATTGTTTTCAGCATCATCAACAAAGCAGGTGGAGCATGATAATTATCAGAAAGAGCAGTAATATCAGCAGCAGCAATAGCATAATCATGATTATCATAATCACCAGCATCATTAGCAGCAGCTGTCATTTGCTAAAGAGTGGCGGTGGTAAGTCACAAGATATGAGCTGTCTTTCAGGGATTTAATTAGAAACACTAAGCCTGGGTTTGAGGCCTGGGTGTGGTGTTTACCTTCGATGACGTCCAAAATTAGGCCTGGGTTGCGGTATGAGTGGAAGTAGAGCATGTCTCCCAAGGAGCCGTCTGTGATTGCTGGGCTGAAGATTGGGATGTTATTCTATAAACAACAAAAACAAAGATCCCCATATAGACTTATAAGGCGTATTAACAATAACGGGATGTAATTAATCATGAATTCAATGACAAAAATTCATATGATTACAATGCATGCATGGAATTGTACTTGTGATAATCGATAATGTAAGATTAAAAGATGATGTTGCATGGCAGTGATTTTATCCATTACTGGGAATCGAACCCAGGTCACCGTGTTCATAGCTCAGAGTGAATAAGTGAGTGGGGAAGTAGGTGGGTGAGTCAGTGTCGGTCAATGTGACCATGCGAATGGATGAGTGGGTGGATTAGCAAGTGAGAGAGTCTGCAAGTGGACAGGTGTGTAATTGAGTTGTTGAGTGGTGGTAAGTGGGTGTGCGAATCGGTGAGTGTGGGTGTGCGAATGGGTGAGTGTGGGTGTGCAAGAAGACAAGCAAAACTGGTTAAAGATTGTGTTGTCCACCTTGTAAGCCCAATAGCACACGGAATCCGGGTTGTCAATCTCCTTCCCTAGACGAGCGATCATCTTAGATGGAGTCCACTTCATGCTCTGAGGGTGGAAAGATGACCTTCATTCAGTCTCATTGATTAATGCCTTCACTCATTCTGGTGATAATCATTTTGGTAATGATGATGACGGAACCGCTGCTGATAATATGATGCATCTGCTGCAGCTGATGATAAGAATGACTGTTGCTGATGTTACTGCTGCTATTGATGTCGATGCTGATGAGCCATCACAAGTCCTACCTGAGTCGTTTGCTCCAACAACATTTGATCCAATATGGGCATCACCCAGTCCTCAAACAGACAGTAGTTATTGTTGGGTACAAGGAGATTGCCAGTTCTGGTGACACAGCATCCAAAATTCATACATAAGGAAATTACTCAATTTGATGAATATGCATAGCAATCATAACATCCTGCACTTCTAAATCTTGGCAAGACCCTCCACTGAGTCATGCCATATTTTTAGCTCTTTGGGTAAAGTCACGTTGAAGGGAAACAATAAAATATATATAAAACAATAAAAATTCTCACGACGTTTCGACCATAACACAAGAATATGAATTACTGCAGTCACGAAAGCTTTAAATCAAAATTTGAGTCATGACACTTAATAATAAGATATAAACGCATACAAATGTACACTGTACGTATACATAGACATGTAAAGGTTGCAAAATGCATTAGCATGAACAAGCTTATAGCAAGTGAAAAAAACTGCAACTCAACAATGCAAAACAGGATGGAGTAGGGATGCAAATTTTCTTTAAATAAAAAATAAAGAGAAGGCATGTAATGATTAATTCATTCCAGGATTAAAATTGGTTCTTATGCTCGTGACACATGCATCGAATTGTGCTCTCACTCCAGCGCTGTCCTCCAGACAGTCTCGTCCCTTCACCTGATGAAGGCCGCTTGTGTTGTGGCCGAAACGTCGTGATTTTTTGTTATTTAATTTTCACCTACGTGACTTTACCCAATAGAACCAAAGAGTACGGATCCTAGCAGTCACGAAAGCTTTAAATCTAGAATTGTGCTCGTGAGATTCGATAATGTAATATTTCCGAATATTATGCGTGTTTACATTGAGGCTATTGAGTGAACAAAGCTGTACAAATGAGATGGATAAAATGAGCAACAATGCAAACGAGATGGTACAAATGGTCTCGACAACACAGTGACTGAAATCAGTGGGTGTAGGAAATCATTACATGCAGACTACACACAACACAAAAAACAAATTCCCTGAGGCAAGAGCAGTTAGCGCACACCGATTAAGGCAAGAATGGGCAGAAGGAGGTGATGTGGTTGAGACCACCACCTTTGTGTACTCGGTGCCAATGTTTGCACACTAGGTACTTGAGGAAGAACAGGACTGATTGTATTGTCACTCGCCACTAATGTGAGCCATGGCCAGGAATAACTCAGGCTACCAGGTTCATAGCGCAGTGCGGTAAGCAATACTGTGCCAGCACTACTCCTGCCTACCACACAAAGACAATCACATGTAGCGTATATGCATGTACATTCTGCAGGTTAAATATGTATCTACTGCCCCCATGATCTCTCACCTGTTGATCCCCTTTAGACGAAGGTCCTTGCCCTTGAGTGCGAAGTCCCCCACGAAGGTGTGAGCCATGCACTTAATCAGGTCCTCCTCTATTCCACCGGCCGTCGTCACAATCACGTCCACCTACATCATAAACATCCTCGTGATTGCCACCAATAGTACCATCACCAACTCCAACACAACCACCATCATTAATCATCATCGTCATCACCAACAGCATATCTTCCACCACCACATCAACACTCATCCTTATTACCAACAGCATCATCACCTACTCCATCACCACAACCACCATTGCCACTGTCACAACTATCACTAATATAATCAACACCAACATCACCTCTACCACCACTCACCATGCTGTGCTGCACCAAGAATCTCAGGGACTCCCGCACTCCACATGAGATCATGTTGGAAGTGTATCCGAGGAAGATGGTGCAATTTTTGAGAGGTTTCTCGTTAGATGATTCCGAGGCCCTCACGACCAACTCATCGCCATCACCATCTTGATCCTCAGGGATAGGCTCTTTGCGTTTGGCGATCTGAGACAATACATGTATGTTTACAAGACATGCATGTTTACAAGACATGCATTGATTAAAAGAATCATAAATAACAGTGTAACGTAAATGTTTTTGTTCCTGGGTAGTAAGTGGTATTTTCTAATTGCTTATGCTTCAAAAGTACAGAAAATGGCTATTATTCCCCACAAACGTTTCTTTTGTGACCAGGACAGTGATATTAAAAAAATACCTATTTTACAGAACATTCCAGATAGAGTTCAGTGCTGAGTAAACTTGGAGTAACTTCTATAACATTCTAGAACTTACCAGTAATATAAATAGTAGTATAAACAGGGGCCTTATGCCCACCATTTCAGTTTAGTTCCAGCTGCCTAAGTGGATACATATCTGCATTTTTCTGAGATGGCATCAAGAAGCTGCAAGCATCCGGCAGACGCATTTTGCTATGTCTGCGGCCAATTTATCAAGACAAGAGTGAAAAAGTACTCTGCACATGAAATTGGGTCTTATGAAACAATTTGTCAGAGCTGTACAGTGAGGAAAAAAAGTATTTGATCCCCTGCTGATTTTGTACGTTTGCCCACTGACAAAGAAATGATCAGTCTATGATTTTAATGGTAGGTTTATTTGAACAGTGAGAGACAAAATAACAACAACAAAATCCAGAAAAAAACGCATGTCAAAAATGTTATGAATTGATTTGCATTTTAATGAGGGAAATAAGTATTTGATCCCTCTGCAAAAACATGACGTATTACTTGGTGGCAAAACCCTTGTTGGCAATCACAGAGGTCAGACCACAGATAAAAAAGATCCTGAGTGCAATGAATTCCCCAAGAAGCTAACTAGTAAGGAGAAAGCGGCTTGGAACAGCTTTGTCGCAGTGGTTCGTGGCTTCCTGGGCAATCACAAGGTCAAAAACTATGTGGAGCTGGTTGAGACTGGTGGAGAACTAGGGCACAATGGGCTGTAGGATGTCCCTCAAAGTCCATATCCTTGATGCTCATCTTGATCAATTCAAGAACATGGGAGCGTACTCGGAGGAGCAAGGCGAGCACTTCCACCAGGATATACTGGACTTTGAACGCCGCTAACATGGACAGTATCAGGAGACAATGATGGGAGACTACATTTGGGGTTGATTCGTGAAAGTGATTTACAGTATAATCACAAATCTAGAAAAAAACTACTCACTTCTAAATCTTTTGTAGTAATTTTTTCATTACTTTAGCATAAATACATGTTCATTTTGATTCATGTGTTTTTTTCTGACTTTATGTGAACGAAAAGACATAAATTCGCCTGTTTTCTCATTGAAAATAGGTACATTTCAAAATATCACCGTCCTGGTCACAAAAGCAAAGTTTGTGGGGAATAATAACCATTTTCTATACTTTTTAGGCATAAGCAATTAGGAAATAACACTTACTACCCAGGAACAAAATTGTGTTACATAGTGTAATCCATTCTCGCATTCATGATTTTATGCACCAATCATTCGCGTAAAAATCGATTTTACAGACACACCCTGAGATTTATTTTCATATACAGTATTGAGGTTACTGCCATATTTAACCCATTATAACCATTGGGAATTAATGACGGGGATAGAACTTAATAAAGATGGATTCAAAGTTGGTGCCAAGATTTACAGTGAAGGAAAAAAGTATTTGATCCCCTTCTGATTTTGTACTTTTGCCCACTGACAAAGAAATGATCAGTCTATAATTTTAATGGTAGGTTTATTTGAACAGTGAGAGACAGAATAACAACAACAAAAATCCAGAAAAACGCATGTCAAAAATGTTATAAATTGATTTGCATTTTAATGCGGGAAATAAGTATTTGACCCCTCTGCAAAACATGACTTAGTACTTGGTGTCAAAACCCTTGTTGGCAATCACAGGTCAGACGTTTCATGTAGTTGGCCACCAGGTTTGCACACATCTCAGGAGGGATTTTGTCCCACTCCTCTTTGCAGATCTTCTCCAAGTCATTAAGGTTTCGTGGCTGACGTTTGGCAACTCGAACCTTCAGCTCCCTCCACAGATTTTTCTATGGGATTAAGGTCTGGAGACTGGCTAGGCCACTCCAGGACCTTAATGTGCTTCTTCTTGAGCCACTCCTTTGTTGCCTTGGCCGTGTGTTCTTGGGTCATTGTCATGCTGGAATACCCATCCACGACCCATTTTCAATGCCCTGGCTGAGGGAAGGAGGTTCTTGCCCAAGATTTGACGGTACATGGCCCCGTCCATTGTCCCTCTGATGCGGTGAAGTTGTCCTGTCCCCTTAGCAGAAAAACACCCCCAAAGCATAATGTTTCCACCTCCATGTTTGACGGTGGGGATGGTGTTCTTGGGGTCATAGGCAGCATTCCTCCTCCAAACACGGCGAGTTGAGTTGATGCCAAAGAGCTCCATTTTGGTCTCATCTGACCACAACTCCTTTCACCCAGTTGTCCTCTGAATCATTCAGATATGCATTGGCAAACTTCAGACGGGCATGTATATGTGCTTTCTTGAGCAGGGGGACCTTGCGGGCGCTGCAGGATTTCAGTCCTTCACGGCATAGTGTGTTACCAATTGTTTTCTTGGTGACTCTAGTACCAGCTGCCTTGAGATCATTGACAAGATCCTCCCGTGTAGTTCTGGGCTTATTCCTCACCGTTCTCATGATCATTGCAACTCCACGAGGTGAGATCTTGCATTGAGCCCCAGGCCGAGGGAGATTGACAGTTCTTTTGTGTTTCTTCCATTTGCGAATAATCGCACCAACTGTTGTCACCTTCTCACCAAGCTGCTTGGCAATGGTCTTCTGGCCCATTCCAGCCTTGCGTAGGTCTACAATCTTGTCCCTGACATCCTTGGAGAGCTCTTTGGTCTTGGCCATGGTGGAGAGTTTGGAATCTGATTGATTGATTGCTTCTGTGGACAGGTGTCTTTTATACAGGTAACAAGCTGAGATTAGGAGCACTCCCTTTAAGAGTGTGCTCATAATCTCAGCTCGTTACCTGTATAAAAGATACCTGGGAGCCAGACATCTGATTGAGAGAGGGTCAAATACTTATTTCCCTCATTAAAATGCAAGTCAATTTATAACATTTTTGACATGCGTTTTTCTGGATTTTATTGTTGTTATTCTGTCTCTCATTGTTCAAATAAACCTACCATTAAAATTATAGACTGATCATTTCTTTGTCAGTGGGCAAACGTACAAAATCAGCAGGGGATCAAATACTTTTTTCCCTCACTGTATATGAGCAAATAAAAACTGGTGTGTGGGTTCATTTGTGGTCAAATGTATTTCATTATAGTCAACTGTACTTTATCATGGTTATGCGTACATTTACGTGTCCCTTTTGCCAATCAACCACTCTATTAATCTCCCCACACACACTATGTGGGTCGAGGGGTTTATTTTCCTGCCACATAGCCCCATAGCAGCCTACAATAATCTGGTTGCGGTCACCCGTCAAAGCACTATCCAGACTCAACCTCCTCAGCTTCTGAGATCCAATGACATCAGGCTCATTCAGGGTGATTAGGCTAATCATGCTCAACGCTGTTTAGTTCTTGATAACAGTGGTTAGTTTAAAATTGAGTGTGATTTATTTCAGTGGCGGTGCACAGCTCTTCGATGTGCTTTTTTTGGGTTGTTTGGCATGATGTCCAAGCTTTCCCTCCATGTGCTGGCAGCATTTTCAGTTCCTGAAGCGAAACGTCAGACATCATGCCAAACAACAAGGTACAACCCCAAAAAAGCATGAGAGCTACAAATGTTGCATTATTTTGTTCAACACGAGCTGTGGTTAAGTGTGGTGGTTGAGTATGTATTGCCCACGAGTGACTTGTCATCCACCATGCGGTTCGTAATTGGTAAACTGCATTTTGAGTGCAGTTGAATCCAGTCAGATGGTTATGAAATTCTGCTCAACATGAGCTGTGGTTAGGTGTGGTGATTAAGTGTGCATCGCCTATTGTCAAACCATGCGGTTGACTTCCAGCACCGCCTGCCCAAACGCAGTGGCCTGGAAGCCCGTCGTCAGGAGGCTGCCGAGCAGTGCGTGGTGATCAACGCCGCCGCTGAAATCGTATCCGCGCACGCGGGGGGTGTGCGTGGGAAGATCCGTGCTGCGCACAAACAGCGCCTCATGAGCGAGGTGAGGAATGGAGGTGGCCATTGTGACGTCGTCCTCGGGGAAGGTCTCTTCACCTGAGAGGGGAGAGAGCAGGGAGTTCTCAGCCACGAGCCCTGTAAGTATGTTGAGTGCAAGACATGCAAGTAGGTTCCCTTGAGCTGTGTATATCATTTTGGTGGTCTGAAGCAAGTTCCGATTGTAATGGGAAATTACTGTATAAAGAGTTTCATGATTGAAGACATCCGACTACACAGTGCCTCTGCTTGTGCTACTTATCTAGCGCTGGTTGCCCCACTGTGGACGTCACGTGGAGGATGTCGCTGATGCACAGTCAGCTTGTCATTCCAGGAGACAGCAAAAGAGCACACCTCATAATTACTAATACCATTATCTACACCACTAACAGCACCATCACAATCAGAACCTCACTCTATTATCACAATGCAATCGGCTTCAACATTAGTAGTAAAATTGTAATGACATCGCGGGATGTCACGGTGTAATGCCGGCCCTAGAGGCACGGCGTGCGGTGTATTGACATCGCGGACACCACGAGGATGTGGGTGCAGTACCGGCCCTAGAGGGGCTCGGTGAGCGCTGATCGATAGCGTTGGATGGCACCACGCTTGGCGTGCAGTGCCGACCCCTACAGGATGGGGTGTGGGAGTGCCGGCCATGGAAATAGGGTTACTAAAGGCCGTGGCACTCTGGTTGACCCCAGAGGACACGTGACCGGTTAAGTCTACACAGGAGCCCCCAAATGGGGGCTAGTGGTGGTCACGTGTCAGGGCCGAGATCCTGCTCAAGGATTCTGGAAGGTGGTCGTGGCCAAGGGCGGAGCCAGCGACGCCGCACAGGATATAAGCCGGGTCCCCCAGAGGGACCGGCGTTGTTGTTCATCCTGAAGAATCCCTTGTCTACATTCTACGTCCTACAGTCTCCAACACGTGGACCTGGACCCAAACTGTGGTCGAGTCTGTTGTAGCCAGTTACGGTGTAATTAGTGTAGTTAGCCTGGTGGTCACCACCATAGGTTGTTATTCTGTTAAGGGGCAGTTACCCCGTGTGTTGGTGTTTAATAAATGTGTTGCCTCCAAAGAGTACGTCTGCGACTCAGTTGAACTCACGACAAAATCACCACTGCCGCTATCACATGGAATTGTTAAAGTTTCAATCCATCACCACCACCAGCATTATAACTATCGGCATCACCACCACTACATTACCACTACCAACACCACCAATCACGATCACCACCATTATCAATCACCATTCGCTCAGTGGTGGTGACGTCACCGTAGAGCTTGTGCCAGGCTAGGTGCACCTTGAGGCCATGTGAAGTGTTGAAAGCTTGCTGGCAGGATTTCATGGGGCAGACCCATGTGCCATGGATTGACTAAGATCAGCATTTTTAGACTGAAGATATTTTTCACAGATGTCCAGATGATTGGCAGATGCACCATGTGCTCCACTGTGCCACCTCGCTGCGTGTCAATCACTCGATGCTCTGCTTGTTCTTGTGAGCTTCAGTGGTGCTGGCCACCCACCCCCTCATGTGCCGTGCCGGCCGTCAAAGGTACTTGCGAACAGCACTTGCCCCAACAGTCTGTTAAGGCTACACGTGGGATCTTTGTCTTGTCATATCTATTGTGGAGTAATTGTATAGGGTGGTCCAGATGTCTTGTGACCCCCACCCCCCCCAATAAATTGACCCGTAACATTTTTTTCTCGTGCATATTGCGTACATATATTTCTTTTAAATACACCTTACTTAAAATTTATATTAAGGTATACATCATGGGACCTCTTTTGCCAGTACCAAAATATGATAATAGGTTTATTTCCTTTTTTCTGGCAACAAAACAGGTGTTAAGATGTTAAAACACCAAACTGAAACCTTTTACAAGGAATCATGTCTGCATTAACCACAATGCTTGTAGTCAGCATGCAAATAAAAAAAACACTGATAATATATGCATTGTCCTTGAAACTGATTGGTCCACACCAGAGACAGCTTTCTTTTGAGCCTCGTCTCGAACGGTGTTAGGGTGGTGTTAGACCAGAGGACGCCTTTTGGCGTCCTTTTTGCGTCCTCTGGTCTAACACCGTTTGAGACGAGGCTCAAAAGAAAGCTGTCTCTGGTGTAGACCAATCAGTTTCAAAGACAATGCAGAAATGATCAGAGTATGTTTTTTGTTTGCATTCTGACCACATGCATTGTGGTTAATGCAGACATTTCAGTTTTCAGTTTCATTTATTAGGTAATAGCTTTACTACCCGGCTTCACCTGGGACTTGGATTCACCACGCCCGGCCGCCTTTGTCCCCCCAGTGGCGATGTTCACACACCACACGAGTTACTCGTTTGAGGCTGAGTCGACCTAGGGAAGGCCCAGGACCGGTTAAAATAATCGTCACCGGTGGTGGCCGTGAGCAGGAATCGAACTCGAGTCGCCGGGTTCGTAGCGCAGCGCGCTAACCACTACACTACAATGCATTACGTTTCCACATGCGAGGGTCATGTGACAGATTTGACGTCACAGCTCACTTGCCGTGCAAAATATATGCATTATTGAACTCCCCCCCCTAAAAAAGGTTTATTTTTATAAACTTGATTTGACGCTTTCGTGACTGCAGGAATTATTCTTTGGTTCTTTCGGTAAAGTCACGTATAAATAGAAAATAATAAATTACATAATAGAATACGACGTTTCGATTGCAAAGCAAGCAATCATCATCAGGTACAAATGAAAGAAAAACAAACCTAGTAAACTTAGAAATATAATGCAACACAGCGCAGAAAGTCGGCTGACACAGCAGTTAACACCCTACCTGGTTGATTACGTCCAAGAGACACAGAACCGGAGACACATACACAGACACACAAGCGGAAAGAGTTAACACAGACACAGAGAGACACACGCATGGGCACACATTTGTGCATGGTGTACAGTCTGGAAAGTACCCACATGGCAAATTTCAAGTTTGTTGCATGTCGGGAAGTACGCTAAACATTTTGAACAGACACACATAGTCACAACTTTGCCTTTTTATATATATGGAGATAACCCTGTGAGCCATGCGGCTCTTGACTCGGGTGCAACAAACAAAAACATGAACAAGAAACATCTTAAAGTGACTACATGCAACAGAAAAATCCAGGAAAAAACAGCAAAGTCTTCTAGAAAAAACACCGTATTTCGATGCTGTGTGCAAAAATCCCAGTGGGAATCAAGTCTAACAATAACAACCTAAAGACAATTTCGATTAAAGTTATCAGGCTAACTCTGTACTACAATAACAAACATGGCTAAACCAAAACGTTTCCAAAATCACCAAAATAAAGCTATAAAAACAATGTAACAGTGATCATAGGAACTGTAATAAAAATTTAACAATAAACGAAATACATAACATGTACGACCAAACTTTGCAGCCATAGCTGGCTGCATGAGTCACTCCATAACAGGAGTATCAGTATCAACATTTTCAATATACCTTTAAAGATCAGCACACTATAATCAAAACTCGAGATCATACTTTGCAGCGGTCATCCGGAACGATACATTTGATTTCAGGCCATTCTGAATAGCAGTGGCAGCTAGGGGTGTACAACTCCTCTAGAGAAGTTTTGAGTGAAGATCTCACAGGTAGTGATCCAAGTTGCAGTTTATTTCTAGATTTGAAGCTTTCGTGACTGCAAAAAATAAAACAAAAATCACGACGTTTCGGCCACAACACAAGTGGCCTTCATCAGGTGAAGGGACCGAACTGTCCAGAGGACACTCCAACGCTGTCCTCTGGACAGTCCGGTCCCTTCACCTGATGAAGGCCACTTGTGTTGTGGCCGAAACGTCGTGATTTTTGTTGTTTTATTTTTTACCTACGTGACTTTGCAGTTTATTGGCGATAGCATTCCAGACCCTGGGGGCATCAATAGAAAAGGCTCTTCCTCCAGTATTTGTACGGTAATAGGGAATGTGAAGCTGGTAAATGAGCGAAGACCTTAGGTCACATTTGTTCTTCGAAACAGTGAGGAGATCCAGCAGGTAGTCTGCTGATTTTTTTGTAAGTACATCGTGAATAAATAAGATCTGATGCACAAGCCGTCGATCATTAAGAGAAGTTAAGTTTGACCCAATGTAGAGATCGCAGTGGTGGGTCCGATATGGGCAGTTCAATGCAAATCTTAAGGCCGAGTGATAAATTGAGTCAAGCTTCTTCAGTATAGTATTGGGGGTTGATTTATATACGATGTCACAGTAATCAAGTAGAAGCAGTATAATAGCTTTTATCAATTCCAAGCGGAACATGGGGGGAAGCAGTGCTTGTGTCGATACAGAAAACCAATTTAAAATGTTGTCTTTTTACCAATATAATCAATGTTATCTTGAAAATTCAGTTTTGAATCAATAACAACTCCAAGATACTTATTGAATTTGACTTGCTCTATTTGATGATTATTTAAGGAATATAATTGGGGACATGATTCCTTGTAAAAGGTTTCAGTTTGGTGTTTTAACATCTTAACACCTGTTTTGTTGCCAGAAAGAAAGGGGAAAACCTATTATTATATACAGTCATACCTCGGTATACGACCGCTTTGGAATACGTCGAATTTGGTACACGTCGTGTTTTGACGAGAGAAAAAAATGTCTTGGGATACGACGCCTCGCTTGCTAGAACTTGTATGGGTCGGGATGAGTCACCGCGTATAGTACACTTCAGGAACATTCTTAGAAGGCAAAAAAAAACTTCAATGGACAGGTTTTTAGTAAAACTCAAACCTGGTAAGCCTCAACCATGTCCAAGTCAAGAAAAAAGACATAAAAGAGAAAAAAAACCCAGAATTTAGCTTCCTGAAGTTTTCATGGAAAGGGACTCTCCTTCCCAAAAAATAACATCTCCTCCTGCTCCCCTTCCTCACCACCATCCTCGTAGGCTATCAACTCCTCTCAGCAAGGTAAAGTTACGTTAAATGTTATTTTTATTTCAATTTATTTTAATTTATTTATGCATTTATTTTAATGTATGTATGCATTTTAGTAATAAGTAGTGTCTACATTATGTTATACAACCCCATTAATGTATATGCCATATAAAATATTATTTCTTATACTCGTTAACGGATTATTTCCTTTCCCGTTATTTATTATTGGAAAACATTCGTTTGGTATTCGTCATTTACTTCTGGAACGAATTAACGACGTATATGCCGTGGTACCAGTGTATCTAGATAATTAAATTGGGGGGGGGGGTCACAAGACATCTGGACCACCCTATACACTACTGTAATGTACAGTGGAATGTAGATGGGTTATGGTGTAGTGCGTGGTGTAAAGCTCACAGAAGATACATACTTCAGTCTGTGCTGCAATATAGTATAGTGTGTAGAGTGCTGTACAGTGTAATGTGTAGTGTAATGTGTAGTGTGTTAATGTAGTGTGGGGGTTAACGTAGTGACGTGCGAGCGGTAGTGTAACGGTCGGCGATCCGAGTTCCATTCCCGATCTCAATTATCTGAACTCCTGGGGGCCTACCCGAGGTCTCACCGGCGAGACGCGGTCGTGCGTGGTGCTGGCCACCCACAACACACCATGCCGTGCTGTGCCTACTACACCATGTGTTCGCTAACTGCACTTGCCCCAACAGGTCTGATAAAGGTTCACGCTTGGGGTTGGAGGGTTGCGGCAGTGAAGGCGAGGCTGAAGTGAGTGCGAACAGAGGGGTGACGTGCACGTGCTTAACAAGATCAGCGTGTGCGATAAACCCCCTCCCATACAGCACTCATTTAGAACAATAATAACTGCGGTTAAAACACCCTGCAGCAGCAGCAACAACAACCACCACCAACCATCACGTGGAATGAATGGGTGAAAGGAGTCAAGTCCAACGCCGCTGAGGGAAGTGTTTATGAACGAGGCGACTTTAACAAAAAATGTAAATCGGAGAGCTTATACTACTCACAGAATCAGAGTAAACACAATAACCGAGCCTATCATGACAACGAATTTGTTCGGCACTCACCTGCGGCGAGCTGCTGGCGCGAAAGGTCCATCGCGCTCCGGCGTCGAGAGCTTTATTAGTGCGCGATGACGTCATCGACGGGGCTTTACAACGTTTCTTGTTTTCTTTTTTGCTACGTCACGCGGAATGCCGCGTTTGGTGCGTAATGACGTCAGACGACCGCGCTCGCGGGGTTGCAATGACGGGTGACGTCATGGGCCGACGTAATCGGGCGTTGTAGCAATCGCGAGCGCCTACGTCGAGGAATCGGATTATTTGTTTATTTATTTCTCCTGCCTCAGCAGTTCTGTATTTTTTTTTCAGTTGAAGACGATTGCTTGTGTTGCGATCGAAACGTCGTTATTTTTGTTTGTTATTTTCCCTATCTTCGTGAGTTTACCGAAAGAACCATAGAGTATATCTGAACACCTGTTTTGTTGCCAGAAAAAAGGGGAAAACCTATTTTCAGTATGTTTGTTTATCGCTGGAGGAATCCAATGAGCTATGAAGCTCTTTGTTCACGGATCTCCAGTAAGGGGCGGGTCAGAACGTTACAACAACAATAGACAATGGAAAAAAAGACACGATTTGATGGCACAGTATAGGAAAATATATAGATACAAATTAACTTTTTTTTATCTTAACAGGTAAAGCCCACTGTTGTATTAACCTAATATTCAGAAGCGACCTGGCCACAAATTATAGCTCAACAAAGTGGTTCATCATGTGGTAATTCATAGCAGCCAAATACTCTAAACGCACGTTTCTAAATGTGGAGGTAAAAACCGGAGGACGCAGAGAAAAATCGACGCGACCACGGGGAGAGAAACACCGCCAACTCCAAATATACAGCAGCAGGCGTCAGGGTCGGTATGGAACCCACGACCTCCTGTATACCAGGCGAGGTAGTTAACATCTCTCAGCCACCGTGATGATGATGATGATGAAGGAGAGAGAGAAACACCGCAAACTCCAAATATTCAGCAGCAGCAGGCGTCAGGGTCGCGATTGAACTCACGACCTCCTGCATGACAGGCAAGGCAGATAACATCTCTTAGCCACCGGGGGCTAACAGCGCTTGCCTCAGCAAAAAAATCTCAATCAACGTATAGAGTGCCAACAAACCCTGCCGTGTTCTCCAGATTATAGGGACGCTCCGGAAAGTATCAAAATCAGAATCTTGATTTAGACTGGAGGATGAATCCGATGAGCTATGAAGCTCTTTTTCACAGATGTCCAGTCGGGGCGGGTCAGCAAGACACACCCCACATTTGTGCGAGGAATTAAGTTCTTAAAGTCTGGTCACACACAACACGTGCCTGTTTATAAGACACAACCCAGCTTATGCTTTCAAATAAAGGAGGGTGGGGGGGGTGTTGGCTTGTGCGTCTTATAATCTGGAGAATACGGTAATGACTAATCAACTCAAACAGCGGTGCAGAATCAGGTACCGGAGCATTCACCCTTGCAATTCACCTGCGCTGTTGGCGTTTTTTGTCGAGACGCGTCAATCAAAGCTAGTCCATGAGTGACAATAATGCACGCTCGATTCATCATTAAAATCAGCCGTGGTCTATCCACTGCTGCATAAAGGATCCTATGATGTAACCCAGTCCGTCTAGCTCAGTGGTTCTAAATTTGGAGTGCACGAATCCTCTGTGGGGTGCGAGATGCCCTTTCTGGCGGTGCGAGACGTGCCAGATTTTTTTTAGAAGGTAAATAATCGAAACACAAATTAAGCACGGTTACGTAAGTGCAACTACTGTACTTTGTTCAATCAAACCCATGTATTTATTAGTTTTAGAAAGATATATTTAATGATTGAGAACCAAAGGAGTCCAAGGCTTCAGTCAAGATTAACAACCACTGGTCTAGCTCCGGTGGACGAGCTGATTTCATTGCTCCATCTTGGTGGAGATGTTCTTCGGGGCGATCCCTCCATTGGCTGCCACTCCACGGTTATTCCCAACCACCGACCATCATCCCTTCTAGCCATGGCGTGTCCTGCCCAAGCCCACTTTCTTATGCTGTAGATTGACAAACGCAATATGCAAAAAGACAAGCGGAGCTGCAGAGACACGCTTAGGTCAATTGCAGATATTAAAATGTAATCAATCAAAAAATGAACAAAGACCCATATCTAAATTTTGCTGAATTTGGATCATAGAAAATGTTTATGCGAATTTACTGAGGCACAGAACTTCTGTGGGCAGTAAACTAATGATCACACTTTCAATATTGACACTAGGGTGTAAGATGCATTGCATCATATTTGAGATAACTTTTTAATGGTACTCAAAACTGAAGAATATTGAATTTTGACCAATTGTACACTGACTTTGGGCACGTAGGCCACACTTTGCCTTAAGACAGATGCGTACACTTTTAAAAAAATGAAACTGATGGATGCCCAATGTGCACTTGCATTTGGACACATGGGTACACTTTTAATTTTTATCACATAGGTACACTTTTAAATATGGTAATTTTTAATTATGACACATGTGTACATACTTCACCTCGACACTTCAGTTCAACGTCACAGAATACAGGTGCAAGTTGCCTTTTGACACGTGAGTAAACATTTAATTTTAACAAATTGGTACACATTGAATCTTGTCACATAGATGCACGTTGCCTTTTGAAATAGAGTTTAACTTTGACACACAGCCACACGTTTAATTTTCACATAAAGGGGACAACTTGTTTTTTTCCACAATAAGTACTTCGGTGCATTTTAAACACATAGGTGGACTTTGCCTTTTGACACATCGAAGCACCTTTAATTTTGACACAAAGGTACAATTGCATGTTTTTTCCACACTTGGTACACTCTTCATTTTGGCACATGGGCACACTTTGCTTTTTGCCAGCATTGACTCCAGGTGTGTATGTGGGAGGAGGAAGAGGCGGGGTGCTCCTCATTGCTCCCCTCCCCCCACTTCTCCAGGGCTCTTGGAACACGAAACACTGCATTCTTGATACCGTACGAGGCATCGGGACCCGTCACGTGGTACACCTGGGGACCCGAGGAGACAAATGAAGAGCGTTAATGACCAACTCTCTACATAGACACACGTAGGCAACGTGTCTCGGAATTCTTCAAATTGTAGCCCGCGGGACAGAAGTGGGCTCGAGAATGCGCTTTTGAGTTGCCCGTAAAGTTATGGTCCCCCTGAGCGACAGGCTCACCCGAGACGTGAATAGCTACAGATAGTTGAGATGATTCACTACTCCACACCGACATGTCACTTCCACGTTCTAAACAATGATTAGCTATTGATTATGACGACGTGGTTTACCGTATTGGTATACAGTATTACTTTTGTGTTAAAACATACAAAAAAACACGCAGACAAAATGCCTCCTTCACATATCTGTTCCTCCACGTAAAAACTAAAGTATGTTTTACCCATCCCATCGGCCACGCGCGGACTTCTGGTAGTGTGTAATTCCAGTAGCGTTGGTTCAACACAAGCAAAGGTTGTATGTCTATTGTGAAATTCAGTGTCTCATCATCAGGTGGTGAGGCTCAAGAGTTGATTGGAGCGGCCACAACAACAGGCTCGGTATCCATCGGGTGTTTTTTGTTATTTAAAATATTGTAAAAAAAAATTTTAACTGCTTCAATTATAGCAGAAAGTGACCCAGCCGCGCCCAAAACACCCCTCCCCCAAGAGCCTTCTTATCGCTGGCTCAGCCCACTGCCATAGGCGGAGATCTCTCCTTTAACTAAGAATTTCTTCATTAAATCCCCAATTGCCTCATTCCCTGGGGGAGGGACCAAGCAACCTTCGGCTCCGGAGCCGCATGCGGCTACGTATGTTCGTGTTTTTGTTTTTTTGTTTGTTGTGGTTGCACCCGATTCAAGAGCCAAATGGCTCACAGGGCTATACCAAAATAAAGAAACTGAAACTAAAGAAACTGAAACTGTTCACAAGCATTGAGGCTCTTGAACTATTTCGTTTTGTACCGAATTCGACAAAAATGTCTCTTGTTCATATTTTGGATGGCGACCCCTACCCTGGGGGAGTCTCCACACCGTCCACACCCAACAAACCGGCTCGCCCCATCCAATACCACACAAAGTAGCGTACCTAGCCCCCAGACATCTTCACAGGTGTGGCCACAGATCCAACAACACTTGCTTGAACCAATGCTTGTAACTTGCCAGATGTCTGTAGGCAAGTTCACTCTCTATTATATATGGGTCCTAATTAGATGAACAACTATATACGCACACAATACACGATTATTAATTTGTTTTAAGTACAGTACCAATGTCGTCTTCTCAAAAGAACGCCAACCTGCTCTCACGTACCTCTTCCTTTCATCGTTTTGATTCAATCCCACCTTCCACAACTGCCCGAGTTCTACCCATGCGTGTGTTTCCGAACTGTGCCTCCTCCAATCCTTATTTTATTTAGTTTAACGCACTTCTACACCACTATGTATTGCACATTCATATTGAGCCCAATTTTGTAGTCTTCTTTGTTAAGTTTTGGAACTTAATCTGGCTCTGTGAGTCAAAGCGTTGCTCTGCTCTGCTCAAACGAGAATTGGGGTGGCGCTCATCTTCGTGACGGCCAACAGCCAGTTCAGTGGTGGAAATTCCACATTACCATGACGGGAGGCAGTCATTGGACAACCAAGTGCTTCCTTCTCGCAAAGTCGCGCCACACCTTTAATCGACCGTGACGTGGCACGTGACGTGGCACGGTCGATTGACCGTGGTATTTCTGCGGCTGATGATGAGCAGTTGGATGGCGATGAACCTGTAGCCTTCTGATGAGCTCTGGTCAAGATGAAACCCGCAAATGTACAGTTTTAGCAAACAAACTCACGCTGATGTTGTTGTTGCAGACCTTGGTTCCTCAGTCCAATGCACAACTCCAGGTTCGTCAAACATTTCTCCAGGAGGCAAACTGTGTAAAGCGCAGGAAGTTTGGACATGGAGACTTTTAGTCGAGGAGATGAGAGGACAAGGGGTGGATAGCTTATGGGCCATTGATCTAATCCGGCCTGCGACTTCATATCATACGGCCAGCATCCACATGAGCCCTACCATCATTCGACGTCACAGCAACATCTTAGCCGATACTAATCAAGCACTGGAGGGGAATGTTTTCAATTCGGGCCACACTGTGTTTATTAGTTCAGTGTGCT